GAATGCTGCATCCTGGTGACAGCACATGGGCAGGAAAGGCTATACCCAGTGGGCCCCACATAGCCTGAGCCCTTTAGCCACTGCCACTACTGGATGTTGAGCTAGAGGTTGAAAGAGACAGAGAGACAGGTACATAGAGACAGAGGCAGAAAAGAGACATGGGCCAGATAGACACAGAGAGCAGAGACTGAGAAACAGAGAGAAGTGAGACACACACAGGGACAGAGGCAGAGATGGAGAAAGGCAGATAGACATAGGAATATATGGCAAACTGACATAGAGAAAGAGAGACAAAGAAAATAAACACACCATCCTCCGTGCTGCCATGTTTGAATGACCTTACATCAGTGAGCAGTGAACGGATGGATGATGCCTTCCCCAACCTCCTGTCTTATTAGCAATCCAGTGTGTCATGAGGCTGTCTCATTAGGAAGCCCTGGAGAGCTCTACCACCACCACTTGATCAGGCCAGCATGTCTGTCAACACTGCCTTCAGGCTGCGTGGCACACAGAAGAAAATGTATATGATCAACAATGTCCTGATTTTGAGTCTTCTGGTTTGTTGTGGATCCTTGGCATAAGAGAATACCTGATAAGCAGAGAGGCCACTCTGCGGATGAAAGTCCCATCCATGCAGAGTGTCCTGTGGGACTCCAAGGGCCTCCAGGCCCTTCTGTCAGTCTGAACCAGAGGGTATAATCCAGGATATGCCAGGGGCCAAAAGAAGCAGCTGCTCTAAGGAGGAGGCCCAGCTTTGCCTCTGGCACTGTAGTCTGCAAATCTAACAGCAAGGGGAGCGGCTCCCTTGACCACCTGGGAAGGCTGGCAAAAGAGGCGGAACTCAGCTCCGAGAAGCTACTCTGACCAGCCACACTGAATGCAATATCTTCCTTCCAAACATGGTGTAATTCCAGTTACAGTCACTTATTTCTCTGACTTAACTCACCTGTCAATCTATAAGCTGTTTGAAGACAGGGCCATGTCAGAGTTATTCTTTCCACTAGAATATCATTAGGCACTCCAAGCACAGCAGTTGTTGCAGTGATGCTGCTGGTGGTGGGGATGGTGCTGATGATGTTGGAGATGCCACTGGTGGTGGGACTGTTGCTGGTGGTGGGGATGGTGCTGATGATGTTGGAGATGCCGCTGGTGGTGGGGCTGTTGCTGGCAGTGGGGATGGTGCTGATGATGTTGGAGATGCTGCTGGTGGTGGGGATGGTAGGGATGGTGCTCATGTTAAGGGAGATACTGGGCTGCTGATGGCAGTGATACCACTGAGAATGACCACCCTTCTTCATATCCCTCCTCTGGGCCATCAAGGCATCTTTGCCAATATTCTCTCTAATCTGTACAAACTGCTTTAAAAGAAAAGAGAATTAGTTTTCCAGGTGGTAAAAGTGAAAATCAAGAAAACAGACAAGAGGTTCAGAGTTGCAGAGTGCACAGAGCTGTGCCACCAGGAGCTCTCGCCTCCCCAAGGGGCTGTCATTAGTTTCCTCAGTGTGATGAGTGCTCTGCCCTTTACTGAGCAGTGATAGCTGAGTAAGAGGTGTTCCCGAAGGACAGCCCCTCCCACTGAACTTCAGCAAATGCTGGGCACTCTCAAGAATGCATCATGCTTCTGGGTGGCCGTCATCCAGCACCCAAACGAGGTCCTCTATGACCACATACCATAAATGCTCACCTTGAGCTCAAACTGGCAAGTCTTTCTGCTTCTAGTTTGTTAATTTCTAGATTTCATATACATCACCTAGTATAATCTCAGGAAATGCCTTATTACTGACACATTGAGACTTAAAATGTCTTCAAACTAGAAGCTGTGGAAATAAGTTTGGTAGTTTAAACTGAGTGGAAGAGAAGGTAGAAGGGACAGCACAGTGAAGGGCCCCTTAGCATTCTTGGGGTGTCTGACTGTACGAAGGTACAGAGATCACAGTAATGATGGATGAAGTGGCCAGAGATGCTTCTGCGCCCATCCACTCACAGGTGGTTGATGCTAAGCAACTCAGGAGCTTGTCCTGTCTGGGTGGGATTTGAATTTCAGTGGCTCTGGAATTGATACCTCTCCTTTAAGACCTGAGGCCACTGAAGAGCATGCCCCTCTGAGAGGGGGCCTCCTGGTATGAACACCTGTCACAGTGGCTCCCTTGCAGACAACAGAGCGCCTATGCCAGTTGCATGGGACCTGGGAGTGGGGTGCTGGAAAACCTACATTTTCTATTATTTTTGCAGGGGCTCTTATTTCTGCTTCTTTTGGGGGATGTTCTTTTTCCTCCTCACCTTAATTTGAGTCAGAGCATAAACACACTGAAAGCAGATTGTCCCAGCCTGCTGCACAGATGTTGTGATAAGCCGAGTCTCTTCTGCCTGGAGCTGTCCAATGTGGGGCGCTAATGAGAGACCCTTTGAGTAGAGCTAGTCAGACTGCTCCAAGTGAGGAGTGAAAGGGTGTTGCAGGCACGTTAATGAGTATTCAGATGTGGGTCCCAGCCGCTGGCACGGTGGCCTAACCAAGTGTGCAAACAGCCTTCTGAAAGGGAACAGAGAGGCTGAACCCACCATGGATGCCTTCACCTGATTTGTGGGGGGATTGCTGGAGGGACTGTTGCTGTGGAAGCCTTGTTGCATATGTGTGCCCCCTTCCTCTCCTCCTCCTCATTTTTTGTTTTCTAAAAGAAGAGTAGTTGTTTCAGCTAGTCTTGCAAACAAAACTAGACAATTTGGATGATAGCCAGAGTTACATCATTTTGGAAACAATAACAACAAAAGAATCTCAGGGATAATGTTCAAACTCCTCCTTTGTCAGAAGAAACAAGTCTCAAAAAGGTTCAAGTTCTTTTGAGAGCTGAGACTTAACATATATAAACATTTTCCAGCCTCCAGCTTCCTGCAGGAAAATCTGTCCTTTGGGGCTGGAAAGATGGCTCAGTTGGTAAGGTGCTTGCTACATAAGCATGAGGACCTGAGTTCGGATCTCTAGCACCCATGTAAAAAAACAGGTGTGGTGACATGTCCCTGTAATTCTAGAGCTGAGCAGGAGACAGAGGATTCTTGGGACTTGCTGGTCAGCTAGTCTTGCCGAGTTAGCGAGGTTCAGGTTCAGAGGATTTTTGTCTCAAAAAACCAAAGTGGAGAGCAATAAAGGAAGACACCTGATGCCACCCTCTGCTACTTGCATGCACACACATGAACATGTATACACACATGAATAGACATGAACATACACGTGCATGAACATGCACATGAGAAGACATCCTAACATAAGCATGTAATCACATGTGAACATGTACACAGACTGGCAACATGCACACACACACACACACACACACACACACACACACTCACTATCCTGTCCATGAAGGCTGAGCCTTGGATGTTACCGGACCTAGTTGTCTAAGCTGCATGCATTAAATCAGTTATGGCTACTACCTTATCAGGGTTGCTACTGTTAGCTCAGATAGATCATGTACCACCCCAATTGTGCTCTGGGTTCACATGTCAAAGATATTTGGTGCTGTTGGGCCATGAGGATGGAGCCCAGGGCTCCTGAGCAGATGTGGCTGCTGGTGGAGACTTAATTCTTACCTGTTCTGTTCTTTCCTTCCAGGGTGAGGACACCTTTCCTGAGAGCATCCTAACCTACAGGGCCCACACGGCTGCACTGACCTACCCTCCTGCAACCCGAGTCAAGTACCCTGACAGCCTCCTGCAGCCCCTTAGCCAGCTCCAGCCAGATGAGCTCAGCCCCAAAGCGGACAGTGGTGTGGACAGACAGCAGCTGATCACAGCTCTAGGTGCCTACACTGCTCAGAGGCCTCCTGGAGAAAATGACCCAGGGCCACAATACTTTCTACATAGCCCCTCAAGAGCATCGAGGCCCCTCTTAGCACCTGCTGCCTCCCAGAGACGGCCCTTGCCTCCAGGAGACCCCAAAGACCCCCCAAGCATGGGAGATGGTGAGTGTTTTGGTGGCCACCCTCTCTATGTTGGCCCCGCTGATTTCTTCCTGGAGGGTATTCTTATGTGCCCCTTGTAGACACAGTGTGACAAAGGAGGCTCATGGGGTCCCTAGGTACTTTGGTGTGGGGAAGAGTGGGTGGTGGCTGAGAAATGGGCAAGTGCTCTGGGTGTAGCTGGACATTTTAGCGCTAACCTCTTTCACTCCCTTTCTCCAATATAAATTTTCATAATCTTATCAACACGGATGCAAAACAAGGCACAGGACATGGCTCTCGGCAAGGCTGGCCCCACACAGTGCCATCTGCAGTATTTTGCAACACAGAATAGGAATGCTGTCAGGTGTCCCACACCACATCCCTCCTGGGGACAAAACCCATACCTGCCCTCAGAGACATGGTTGAACATGTCATCCTTGGAAGTGTCCAGTCTCCAGTTAGCACCATCCACAATGCAACTATGTATAGCACAGGCCTCAAAGTGGCCTGGTCAGTGCCATGGTTTTCAGTGTCTTGGTGTGAGTAGTAACTGTGTGTGGCTGTTCAGAGATGGGGGTATCTAAAAGGGAATGTCCACTTAGGAGCTCGCTGGCTCCTGCTCATCTATCCCATGTAGAAGGCTCTAGTCCATTTCCTTTCTACCATCCCATGACTTCACCTATAGAGACACATGGATTCTACAACCAAATGGGTAGCACTGTGGGAAACTGGCTGAGGACTGCTCCCTGTCTGCTGTACGTGAATCTTAGTTTCCATTGATAGGCCTGGCTCTCACTGCTGGGTTCAGATGGGTGGCCTCATCCTCATGTTCTCCTTTCAAGCTGGTGGGGTCATCTTCAGTAATCACAAGATAGTTACGAATGCTTTACTCTCTTTGCTGACTCAGCAACAGTGCACACGAGGGTTAATAACCACAGTGTCAACTAGACTCTTCAGTGCCCCAGAGTCTGTGGTTATAAACCCTCGTGTGCACTGTTGCTGAGGCAGCAAAGAGAGGAAAGCATTCCAACCATCTTGTGGTGATTACTGAAGATGACCCCACCAGCTTGAAAGGAGAACATGAGGATGAGGCCACCCATCTGAACCCAGCAGTGAGAGCCAGGCCTGTCAATGGAATCTCATACATGAGTGTTGTATTTGCATTATTTCTACCCCATACAGTTCCCCCCAACCATGTCCCTCCCTGCACTCCCTCACAATGTCTTGTTCTCGTCTTTATTATTGTTACATATATACACACATTTATAAACATACATATATAATGTGCTGAGTCCATTTAGTTGTGCTCCTGTGTACACATGTTCAGAGCTGCCCACTTGAGATTAGATCATCTCTCAGGGAGCTAGTCTCTGGGGAAAAGAGATTCACCCTCAGTGTCCATTGATTGCCTGGAATTCTTCATCTTGAGGTGGGACGCTGTGACATTTCCCCCTTCCACATTGGCATGCCAGCTGGTTTTGACTTTGTGCAGATCTTGTTAGCCTACCACACTGACGAGCTTTCATGTGCAGCTGCCCTGTCGCGTCTAGAATGCGGTAACTAGCAGCAGGTGTCTCGTCCCTCTGGCCCTTACAGTCTCTCTGTCCCCTCTTCTTTAAAGTTCCCTGAGCCTTCGGTGTTGAGGGTGCGTTGCAGATGAATCACTTAGGGCCGGGCACCTCAAAGCCACTTGTTCTCTGCATTCTGACCAGTTGTGGAACTTTGTAGTAGTCCTCACTTCACCCGTGTCAAAAAGAAGCTTCCTTGATTAGTGAGAGCTTACTTTATTTTAAATTTTTTAAAGTAGGGATCTCGAGAAGTTGCTAAGTGGGTTAGAACACTTGCTGCACAAACATGAGGATCTGAGTTGGATTCTAGCACCCATGTGAAAACATGACTAAGCACATGCCTGTAGACCCAGTGTTGCAGGAGGCAGGGAGAGAATGATCACTGTGACTGGTTGGCCACCAGTTTAGATCCAGGTTTAGTGAAAGACCCTGTTTCAAGGAGCAGGACCTGTGAAATCCTTCTCTAGTTTCCACATATGCACACATGTATACACATACACACAGGTATGCATCTGCACACACGTGCACACCACACACACATCCACAATTTTAAAATTTTATGTGTATGAGTGTATTGCCAGCATGTATGTAAATGCACCCATATTGTGTAATGCCCACGAGGTCAGAAAGGGTGTTGGATCCCCTGAAACTGGAGTTATGGGTGGCTGCTAGCCACCATGTGGATGCTGGGAATTGAACCCTGATCCTCTACAAGAGCAAACAGTGCTCCTAACCGCTGAGTCATCTCTCCAGTCCCCCACCCCCAACAATTTTTTTAATTGCACAAAGCACACAAACCTAAAATTTGCTGTTATCCACTTTAAAGAATATCATTTACTTATTCTTTGATAATTTTTTTTTGGTCTTTTTGAGACAGGGTCTCCCTGTAGCCCCAGCTGTCCTGGAACTCACTATGTAGGCCAGGCTGGCCTCAAACTCAGAGATCTGCCTACCTCTGCCTCCCGAGTGCTAGGATTAAAGGCATGCACCACCACGCCAGCACTCTTTGATAATTTTATACATGTATACAAGATATCTTGATCACGCTGATCCTCAACACCCCTCTTTCTCTTCCCCCAACATCTCCTCCTCCTCCCTCTTACTTGGTGACTCACTGAGTCCAGTTGGTGCTACCTGCAGGGATGGTCACTGATCTTACTGCCTTGACCTTGTGCCGGTCTTGTGCAGGTAAACCGTGGCTGCAGTGAGTTCATGGGTACGATGGCCATGTCGTATCTTGATCACGCTGATCCTCAACACCCCTCTTTCTCTTCCCCCAACATCTCCTCCTCCTCCCTCTTACTTGGTGACTCACTGAGTCCAGTTGGTGCTACCTGCAGGGATGGTCACTGATCTTACTGCCTTGACCTTGTGCCGGTCTTGTGCAGGTAAACCGTGGCTGCAGTGAGTTCATGGGTACGATGGCCATGTCGTGCCTGGAAGACAGCATTTCATAGCAGTCCTCCCCATCCTCTGGCATGTGCATTGTTTCCCCCTCTTTTACAGTATTCCTAAGTTTTTGGAGGGGGTTGTAGATGTCTCATTTAGAGCTGAACACTCAACAGAGTTATTCTCAGCACTATGGCCAGCTGTGAGTCTTTTGCATTGCTGTCTACCACAGAAAGAGGCTTCTCTGCCCAGGGCTGAGAGCAGCACTAATTTATGGGTATAAACATATTTAGGCAGTTTGACAACTTGTCCATTTACCAAAGCAGCAGTACTAGGGGAATTCATGCCTGGTGCCTGGGCAATATCCATGGCTCAAAAAGTCTTATGCCATAAGGAACATATACTATTATTCTTTTTCTGTGTATTTACTTTTTGAGACAGGGTCTCCCTGTAGCCCCAGTTGGCCTGGAACTTGCTATGTAGACCAGGCTGGCCTCAATCTCACAGAAATCCGCATGCCCCTGCCTCCTGAGTACTGGGATTAAAGGCATGTGCCACCATGTCTAGCCACTGTTATCTTTTTTTGTTGTTCTTCTGACCTCAAATTTTACTCATGTTACAAAAGTAATAAGTGACACATTACCACAGAAAAACACATAACTTAGCTTACAACTCATCCTTTAAATGAGTTGAATGATCACATGAAAAGTCAGTACAGATTCTTAGTTTTACTATAAAAATGAAAATAGAAGTAAACATTAGGAACTGAACTATTGTGTTTAGTTTCTAGAGATGTGATACTCATGCTTTCTGGCTGGTGATGGTTCACCAAAGCTGACAGGTGACCAGCCAAGCTGTGCACTGCTCCCCTCCCTCCTACCCC